TCCCCTCCACCAGACAGGCAGTCTCCCTTTATTCACCATCCCTTCAAGGTGGTTCTGGCCTCATTCGGAGCCCTCTAACAGGAGAGCACGGATTGAAGCAGTGGACAATTGCGGACTTTGATCCGTCCATGACGGAAACGCCACCAGAAGTCAGACTGCTTGTGTCTTTGTCTCATTCACATATATAACCACAGGTGGAGGTTCATTCTGATGAATGCAGCAAGATCTTGCAGACACTGCTGAAAAGAACCGTGTTGCCAATCTCTTTACTTCTTAGGCTGCTGTATGAGAGTTTCCGGTTTGTCATCCACTTCCATTTTCATTATCAAATTCTTCCCCTAGCAGGATGTGCTGTTTACACTGGTTCTGTCGAAAGTCCTTTCTGAGTGTTTTCTTTCAAAATCCCCAAGTTGGTCAGTCTCCTAGTGTATTTTTGAACCTCTCACAAAATTCATTGCTTCTGCAGTTTCTTGAAGTTCAGCTGCAATGGACCTTCCTTTCTGTTTCTGCTTATGAAACTGGAATTGCTTTGCGTGGAATAATGATTTTGGCACCAAATGTTCCTGATTTACCTGATTTGTAAAGTTGAATCACATGGTTTATTTGTAGGGCCTTCAGCTTTTCAATAAAATCTTCTCTTTGCCTCCCACAACTATCAGCAAAACAGGCACTTTTTTCTCAGCAACCACTTTATTTGGCTCAAAAAAATGCTTAAAGCCTTTCTGTGGTTGGTGTCCTCCGTGGCACTAATCAGACATTTCCATTTTCCCAATAAAGTAGCCATCCTACTGTGCCTTTTCTGTTTGGTTTGTTTTTATTGTCCTCCTTTGGTTTTTACTGCCCTTTTTAACAACCCCCAAGATACTCTGAGGCTTACCCTAGAAACATAGCACGGAAGCTTCCATTAATTAGGAGCAAAAGCTGGTTGAACTTAGGAGTTCATTTCTTTTGGAAGAAGCCACTGACTTTTCCCTTGCAATCTAGGGAATTTGCATACAAGTATTAGCATATAAATTTAATAAGTAATTGAGTATTTTGATCCAATCCATGTGGAAAGGTCACGTGGTAGAACAGTTGTTATTCGATTTGGATATGAAAGATATCTGTGTCTTGTCTTTGCCACAGTCAGAACACTTCCTGGCTCATATGCATTGACCACCATTGTTACTTCAGTGGCCCTTTCAAATAACCTGCTCCGGGCCCTGGAAAGTAATTGGGGATTTCTTTAACAAGGAAATGGGGCAAATGGATTGAGGACCTGTTTGATTGCTAGTACTAGTAGCCTCCCAGGGTGTCCCCTTGGTTTGCAGAGGAAGCAGGCCGAGAATGACAGAACGTGGCCAGGCACAAGACTGATCACTCTGTGGTGACAGAGCAGGTGAAATACTCTTAGTTCTCTCTTCTTGCTTTGCTGGATTGTTGTCCAGCATCCCTCCTTATTCAGAGGGTTGGTTGGTTCACCTGTGGATAAGAGCCCTCCAGTGGGGTTGCCTCTGGGCCACTGAGGCCGGCCAGCAGAACGTGACTGGCCATCTAGCTACATTATTTGGGATTCTTTTGGCCCTGGAATTTCCAAGGAATCGGACAGGCTGCTCCTCAGCGGATCCTCAGCTGCCTGAGCCCACTGATGGAGGCTGTTTGGAAGCTTTCAAATACAAATTGTACACAAATGTTATAAATAAGTTGGAAATTGTATCAAACATTTGTTTTGATATATTGATCTATATGAGTACAGAGATAGCCTTGAAAACTATGCAGCAGCTCTTAGGAAAACTTGAATTTGGCCCAGAAAGACAGGAGGAAGGAACGTTAGATTACCCTGCCTTGGCTCTCTCTGGTAACAGAGACTGCCAGGCTTTCAAGATTCTTGGTGCTCTCAGAGCTCCTGCTGGCTTCCCCATTGACTGAGCTGGTAGGAAGCCTCCGGGAAGTTGCTCGTAGGACCTCAGGATGCTGCAACTGTCATAATTGCAATAAAGTCCATAATTGCCACTTAGCAAGTGCCTGAATTGTGATCACGTGACTGCAAGGATGTAGGTCTGTAAGGACTGGTCATAAAAGCCTCCATGTTGAGTGCCTCATCCTTTCAAATAGTCACCAAACAAGAATGATCGCAAAGCAAAAACAACCCGTATCCTCCTTTTTTTGGATATGCTTGATCTGTGTTCTCATCGTTTTATGGCTTTCCTGCTTTTAATTCTTATGCAGTTGGGAAAGCTATAAGTGGGTAGGTGGATGATAGTGCCTCGTACCTAGCCACAGTAGTGAGCTGTTGCAGAAATTCCACAGCTTTGGGGAGAGTTTAAACTGACCATCCTTCTGATAAACTAAGTCAGAACATCCCCCTTTGCGTTTCACTTTGTCAGTTGTAGGAGCAATGCCACTGTTTGAATGTTGGGGTCAGGCAACCCTTCATATGAATCTGTTTGAGTTTACATGAGGCAGTGCTGTGTTTTTTCTTAAATGGGATTTGTTCATTAAAGCACCGGTGGCCGTGTTTTACACGGCTGTATCCCAGGAGGTAGGTTTTGCCATTGCTCAATTGTGCACTTCAGGTGATTTGTGCCAGCCTCTAGACTGGCCAGATGTCCTTCCCATTCAGCATAGCCCTTGGATCAGAGGCAGGTAAGTGAATGTTGCTCTGACTTGTGTGCACCTGGCTAGAAATGTCCTGTTTCCTTGCCAATGGATTTACTTTATTGTACTGTTTACCGCTAAATTATGATCTTGTTAACCGCTCTGAGAACATGTTAAATAAAGAGGCACCTATAATTCTTAAATCAACACTGAAGAGGCAAGTAAATGGGTTTCATGGTTTTGTAGCCAGGAGAAACCTGGAATGAGAAAATAACAAGGCTGTGCAGCTCTCCCAATTGCAAAGGAAGAAGGTGTTTTAGGGTGATTGACAACTCTGGCAAGCAGCTCCAGCTCCCACTGTGGTGGCAGAGCAGGACTCTCTGCTCTCCAAAACCCTGCAGTGAATTAGGAGACAGGAGAAAGAAATGTTTGGTGTACCTTTGCTGACACATTTTTAATCAAGATTATTTGCCTGTGGTCTCCATTTACCAATAGTGTCCCTTTTAGACAAGTAAAGAAATTGTTGCCTCTGTTTTCCCTTCAGTGTCCTAACAGAAGGAGCAGCCGACCCAGCCGCACCATACTTACAAAAGCCAAGTACTTTCCTCCCCGTGAAAGAGAGCTCTGCCCTGTGTGGCCTGAGTGGACGGGACAAATAGACCGCATTGTTCAACAATTTAGGCTCTTCTGGAGTTCTTAACTCTGGAAAGATCAGAAGGGGGTGGATGCCAGGCATGACTGGCTCTTTCGCTTTGCAGATAGGATGAAACTGACTTTTCACAGAAGCATCAGGTGCCTTTTTGAGATAAAATGAAGGCCAGCTCCTGAAATAATTGCATGTCAGCAGTAAACCTGTCTCTCGTGGCCAAAGGAGGCCAGGATGGAAGCTGATAAAAACGTCCCTGCTTCGTTGAAGGAACTGGGACTCAGAGTCAGCAAGTTTTTGGTAAGAAATACTTTCAAAAGTCACTCTGCTTTTTTGCTCAGCGTGTTTCAGGACGGGGGTGGAAGGAAATACCAGAATTGGACAGAAGCTGGTTTTCCCCAGTCCTACTGTCTGAGTGAGGTTTGTGACTGGGACTTTTGAAGTTTAATCGAGATGCATTGCAGAACTTGGAAGCAGCACTGAAAATTAGGTGTTGTGCCGTTCTTCATTGTCCCATCCCTCTCTCCCCAAAAGCATGTAACGCAACTAAAAGTTTGTCTGCCATTGCAGGGTTTGGATGAGGAGCTATCCAGGGTCTCCATGACTCCACTCATAAACAAAGCCCCCAGGCCCTGCCAGTTCGGATGCTTTGTGAGGGCAGAACACGGGCGTGCAACATCTGCTAGTCTTGGTTCGCCAGGGGTGTCAGGATTGTAATCACTGGAAAGAGGTGTGGGGAGAACTGAAGCAACAGAGGGAGCAGCGAATACCAGGTTTTTTATCCCTCGGGTGGACGGAGGCCGCTGGAACTGGCCCTGGCCTTCGTTGGCTGAGACTGGCCAGAAGGCCTCTGGTGGAATTGCAGGGCAGCTCTGCTCTTAGCCAAGAGCCTGAAGCAAATGTGCAACCTGGGTGTGAAAGTTACTCGCCTGGAGTTAAGGGAGCAGCGGTCATCCTGCATTTCTTGGGCACTTTTGCCAGGATTTGGGGATGATGCTCTGCTTCACATTTTGAAGGCTTTGAAGAGGATTTTTCAAATAACTGGAGAGGTAGCAATTATTTCTGTTGTAGGGGTTTTTTTGGCACCTGAAATGTCCCTCGACACAGATAAAAGGCAGCCCTTCAGGCTAGCAAATGACTTTTCTTCCCCTCTTCAAATAGGACATGGAAATTCTGCATGATTCCGTGGAGTTCGGATTGTCCGACAGAGGCTCCCTCCCACGAATGCCCTGAAGCTGTGGCAGAGCCATCGGCAAGGGAAATCTTTCGCGGGAAGCTCCGGCCGGTTTAAGTCTCGGACGAGCTCTGCCATGCCGGCGCGGGAGGGGTCGTCTCCGGCCAGCCCTTCAACATCCCGCTGGGAGCTACCCGAGGCGCTCCGCTCCGGATGCTCTCCCGGCAGCCGCGCCGCACCGGGGCCCGGAGGAGTGGAGGGCTTGGAGCAGAGGGAGGCGAGCCGGTGTGCGGTGGCCCGTCCTGGATTGGAGCTTCTCCTGCCGGGCGGCGCAATCGCAACAAGCCTGGACTTGCGGCGGGGGGGGGGGGGGGGGGGGGGGGGGGGCGGGGAGGTGCGCCCGCCTGGCTTTGGCCCCCTTCGCTTTCCCGCGCCCGGGAAGCGGCCGCCGCTGGGCAAAAGACGCGCCGGCTGGAGGGAGCGCCTTCCCTCCGAGGGGCCGCCCGTGCGGGCCCCGCATCTCCTGTAGGGCCATCCCAGAAGAAGGCGGCTGGCGAGCCCCGGGGCGGGCCGTGGCGGCCGGGCGCCCCGCCCCGTCGGGGAAGGAGCCGGGAGGGAATGGTATTTAACCCGGGGCCGGCCGGGTGCGACGGCAGAGACAGGAGACTAACCCCACGCGAGAGGCTGGAAGAGCGGCGGCTCAGTCCCCTCTCGAGTCTGGAAGCCGTCGCGGGGAGTGGGCAGCGTGGGCTCCGTCGCCGTTCCCCGGCAACTCTGCGGAGCCCTTCCCGTCTTCTGCCGCCATGAAGTGCCAGTCGCCGGCTGGGCAGAGTTGCATCAGCCGCCGCCGCTTCCTGCCGCTGCTGTTCCTGCTGTTCCTCCACCTGCCCGCCGCCGAACTCCAGTCATGTTGCCCGCCTGCTCCGTCTGGGCGCGGGGCGCGGCTCCCGTTGCCCAGGTAAGCTGGTTGGCTGTATCTCCGCGCGGCCCCCGGTCGCCCTCCCTAGTAGGGCTCCGCTCCCGGCAGGGTCGCAGGCTCCATCCTTCATACTCCAGCGACCCTTTCCCGGGTTGGAAGGGGACCGGGGCAGTCCAGGACCGGAATCAGCAATACCGGGAGGACACCCACAGCCTCCCCCCCCCCCCCGCTGTCCTCATGTCCCTCTTCGATTACTACCAGCCTCGCCTGCTTCGCTAGCGCTTCCTCTTGGCCGCTGGTTCCATGGGCTGCCACGAACAGAATTTTCTCCTAGAGAGTAAACCCCAGGAGAGCCCCGTGCAAGCCTGGGGACCATGAGTTACAAGCTGGTGGGTTTTGTTTTTTTTTCGGGGGGGGGGACCTTTTCAAGGGTTAGCACCAGAACCACTGGAATTCAGCTGAGCTGCCTTCTTCACAAAGGGTCTGATGCACAAGGCAACCAGTCCGGAGTCTGTGTGTGTGCGTGTGTGTGTGCATGCTTCAAGGCTTCCTTGAGGAACCTCGGTGGTGGTTACACTTCTTTTTCCCTCTCTCCCTGCTCCCCCAACTGTCCTGTGCAGATGCTGGGAACCTGCTGAGGGGCAGTGAGCAGTCCCAGGTGTGGGTGGAAGGGGTTGAATAATGGACGCTTGCCAGTTGGGCTTACTGAGTTCCAGAGCTGCCTTGTGTACTCTGGCCATGATCCAGGACCTTGTTAAGTGTCCGTGAGCCCTTTGAAATGAATCGGTTCGAGCTTATGTAACTCAGCAAATTAGGAAAGCTGGAATCCTCTCTTGACTTGGAGTAAACCCACCCGATTGGCTTCAGGGCAAATGTGTGTAGTAGGGCCGACCCTCAAAGCGTAATCTTGAATTCCATGTTCTTTCACATTTGGACGTTTCGTCCCTTAGGTGTGTTGGTCTGCAGTGGAGTTCAGCTCACTAACCCTAACCCTAAAAAATAATTGGCATAGAAACAAGTCCTAAAAACCACCCTGAAACTATTGGAACCACATAGCATTTCTGCCACCAATGATGCAATATCATTACCAAATGAATCAGCTGTTGAAACTGGAAGTCTTTTAAGGAATCCTTTGAAAGCCAGAAAGGAGAAGGCCAGGCAGGTCTACCAGGAAGAGCCCTAGTGTGTTGAGGGCCCTCCCCTACCCATTCGTCAGCTTCTGGGGCATGCTGGCTAATAAGAGAGCTTCCACCCTGGCCTGAGAGGGAAGACACAGTTGAGACCCTTGGCAGAAGGGAGGTTTTCCCCTGCCAGTGCTGGGGTGAAATGTGGGGGTGTTGCAAGGGGGGAGAAAGTGGACTTCTCCATCCACCCCTCCTTGTTCCTCTTCTGCCTGGGGCCCTCCTCTCCAATTCCTGAATGTGTCTTTTGGCTGTATTTTATACCTTTCCTAGCAATGACAGATGCCCCACTTCCAATAAAAATATTTGTCCTTTTTTATTTTATTCCCCCCTTCCGGTAAAAATTGGTGCCCTATTTCAGTTAACCAACCATTTAATTTTCTTTTATGGATAGAGAGCTGTTCATTCTGTACCCCTAGAATGCTTCTAGAGGGAGGAAGATGATACGTGGCAGTCTTGTAAATAGACTACCTCTTGTTGGGTTGTGCATAACTCAATGTGTGCAAGGGATATCAAGCAAGGTGTGGTTGCCAAGCCCTGTTTCCCTCTGGGCTCCTTTCTCGTGGCCTCTGGTTCCTTGGCCTTGGCAGGACAAGAAGATGGAAGACAAGAAGAAATCAGAGTTTTAGCAACACGGATGGAACTGGGGAGTCTGTGGGAGACCTTGGTCTACCTGGTTTGGGCCCTAATTTGCCTGGTGTGCAGACGTGCCACGCTGCCTTGCTGATTGTAGTATCAGGATCAAAGGCTGCCACCAACAAGTGGCATCAAAGGTGCAGAACCATCTTTCCTTTCAAGGAGCTCCATGCAAACATCGGGTGCCATCCCAGGAGTCCTTGGGCAACTTGGAAGCATCTTTATAGCTTACAGAGATCGGGTGAAGGTTCAGGCAGAAAGGAGCGCTCTTCCAGTTCCATTCCCCTGACGCTTAGATTGCTGTAGGTAAATGAACCTGAACAAGTATTTTTCAGCCAAGCGCTCAAGAGGCACAAGTAGTGGTACATGGCCAGCAGGGGATCAGCCATTGCTGCCTCAATTCAGCCAACCTTGGGGACAGACAGGGCTGATGGTGGGAGCTGGACAAACTGAAGCATTGCCTCTTCTGTTGGGTAGCGCAGGAAGCTGGGCTAGTAAGAAAGGCCCCGTCTTCTTATGCTACAGATTGTAGGATTCCTAAAGTTCTTACCGCCGCCATCTACGACTGAACAGGAGCGGAACTGCAGTGTATCTGCTCTCTCACACACGCGTATTAAGAGTGGTACATTGCACTCTGCAGGTGCACAGAGGAAGCAGTGGGTGCAAGACCAGGCTTGCTGGAGTGGCTTCTGCTTCTCATGAGTCACGGCAACCTACTTTCTTGAGTTGGAGAATAAACCAGCACAGCAAGGACCTTGCCTCTGATCACTTCCCAGGTTAGATTCCAGTTTAATGCCCTGTAATCCAACTGTCAAAGGGATCCAGCAATGACACTACAAGCAAGACTTTGGTCAAAGAGTCAGGAGGAGCCTGGAAAGATCTTTTCGGACTAAAGGCAAGTCAACATAAAGCGTGGCTCCCAGACACCACCTGATTTTTGACATGGATCTCCTCCTAGAGAATAAGGCAAAGCTCCTCCTTAGCAGCAAATGGAAAAGAATGCAAACCAAAGACTGAGTTTTGACTAGCAATGATGGTTCTGCGAAGATCTTATTTGCACAGGAAAAACTAAGCACCATGATGATGTATTCCACCTATTCTTCCCTCCATCCCACTTTCTCCCCGCCAGCTCTGTGGCATCAGCTAGCTGTGGGAGAGACTTCCTGGCCCTGCACTGTCTGAATCAAACCCCAATGGGGTATCCCACCACAAGGGCACGCTGTGCTCTCCACCCGCCTCCGTGGAGATTTTGAGGTCTCTCCAGCTTCCCTAAAATGTGTGGGTCACTCCATCCACTGCAGGGGCGCTCAGACAGGAAGGGATCAGGTTGCTGTCACGGTTAGAAGAGGAAATGCCAGCAGCCACAGTGCTCAAGCGCTAAGGTCAGGTCAAAGCCAAGGAATCGCTGGCCACGTTGTCTGAGAGGTACCATCAGACATTGAATTGGAGGGGGTGTCGTTTTCAGGAAGTTTTTTTCCCAGCCATCCTGTGGTTCCCTGAAAGATGTGCCTGAATGCGAAAGAGGGGGTGTCCTCTTTGGCTCCCAGCAGAAGGGCTTGGCTGGGTCGGGGGAGGGTTTGATTCAGGGAAAGGCACAAGGAAGGCGCTTTCTGTGACTGGATGCGGCGTGAGATGCACAAGAGGGCACAGCCCGTCTTCCTTCCTCACCCTAAGTACGGTCTTGGAAGCCAGGCTTTAAGAGAGCCACACAAGTCACAACCCCACTTCAACTCTGCCAGCCCCTCCCTAGGTTTTGGTGAGCTCTCTGCAACGGTGCTGACTATGAAAAGCCTCTATATAAGCTGGCTTGGGTGTGCAGGCTCACGCCTGTGATGCAGCTGGTGTTTGTGCACGCTCTTCTTGGGTGGCTACCAGTGTACGTGTCCTGTGGCAGGTAGCTTCTTTCCTCTCTGCACGTGCTCCTCCCTCCTCACTTTGCCTTCTGGCCATCTCCCAGGCTCTCCCATCTCATCTGCAGCCCAGGCTCCCTGCCAGGGATTCTGTAGTTGACCTCACTTTTTTCTCACCTTGGCCTCCCCTTTCTAGCCAGGCCTACCATCTTCCACCTCTTTTCCTCCCTTTCCACTCCTCCCCCTGCCCCCTGCTCTTACTGCCCTACAAAGAAGGAGGTTCAGCTGGCTGCCTCGCTGCCTGAAAAGGATTGAGTGGCAAACCCAGTGCCTGACTTCATGTGGGGCTTTCAGAGCTCCAGGGAGCAACTCCTCTTCCTGGAGAGCTCCCTCCTCCTGGCTTCTCCTGGCTATGGCTTAAAGACTAGAGTTTGCCTTCTGGTTAGCACTGCTCTGGCCCCCTAGGGTGGGGAAGAAGGTACTCTGCCCCCTGCCTTGAAAAGAAGGGGCAGGGCGGGGGGCGGGGGAAGCAGTGTTTAAACTTTAAATTAGTTTCAAATGGGTGTAGTATCTTGTTTTCCATTTCGATACTACTATCTATTTTTTCTAGATTGGGATCCAGATTCCATGCATAGAAAAATGTACTGTTGTCTGTCCGTGTGGAAAAGCAATTTCTCCGGGTTCTCAGCCACAGGGTGCTTTTGAGAGAGGCAAAGCCACGGCCATATCCATCTGAAAATGCAGCCTAGAAACATCAGTGTTAGCTTTGGGGCCTGCTTGGAGTTCCCGTAGAGGGTGTGGCAGAGAAGGACCTTGGTTGCTGGGGTGCATTTCCAGGCCCACCAGAAGGAAGCTGTGTTGGCCTCGTCTCCTGGGAAGCCATGCGGTTCACTGCGGGTCTCTTTCTCTTTCCCCTCGAGCGAGGATAATAGCCCAGCTCTTCCCAAAGGAATGCAGACCTTCTGGGTCCTGATCCCAAAGGATCTGCCAAATTATTTCCCCATTCTTTCCCACAGAGGACAGGTCAGGGTTTGCTTCCCTCGGTTGGGCAGAAGCATCAGAGTACAGCTCTATCTAAGTTTTATTTTTGTCTTTCAGCTTTTATATTTGCAAGAACTTCCTGATCAGCCTTGGCTAATGGAAAGGCCAGATGTTCCAATCTCAGCTTCATCTTTAGAAATCTCATTAAAAATTGAGAGCCCGAAATAAAGACGAAGTGCCAGGATACATTAATTGGGGCACGGGGGGAGGGGGGGTTGGCAGCGACTAACACCAAGTCAGAGGGTCCGGATTAAAGGTGTTTGCAGCTTTTCTCCAACACACACCAACTTCAGAAAACTTGGAAGTTTCTGCCAGCAATGTTAGATCCACCACCTCATCCTTTGGGGGAGGTATGACAAAAGTTCACACAACTCACAAAACATCTTATGGTCAGTCAATGTGTCGTATCTCCAAGACTAACCATATTATGGATAGCCTGATCTATACCCAGTAGATTCCCCAACCTTTCAAACTCAGACTATCAAGTTCTAGAATAGGGAAGGAATGAGCCCAGCATCCCTGCGCCTCCAGCTCTTCTTTCCTTCTTGTACATCCAGGGGCCCTCTAAGCATCTCCTCTTCTTCGTGGCAGGAAACCGTGGGACTCAAACCACCATTCTACCTGGCTTCCGAAGAGGCTGTCGAAGAAGGACGGGGTGCCTTGGCTGGCTCAGAAGCAACCTGGGATGGCAGACAGCTTGCTTTCCCTCCGAGAGCTCCCCAGGCCCAGGCGGAACTCCCTGCAGCTTGGCTATGGCCCTCTGCCTTGGCCCGCACTGATGCCAGCCCTTCATCGAAAGCGCCGTGCTGCCCAACTAATGCGCGTGGGTTGTGCTTTGGGCACTTGCCAAGTGCAGAATCTCAGACACCGGCTTTGGCAGCTGAAGGGCCAGTTGGGACGCCAGGATTCCTCCCCCATCAGTCTCCATAGTCCCCACAGCTATGGCTGATGGCAGCGGGGGATGCCAGGACTGGAAAGGCAGCTGCTCCTTGCCCTGAACACGTCCAGCAGCCTCTCCTCCTTGAGACCTCCCATGCCACCCGCTGGTCTTCCTGCTGGACCTACTTGTAGGGCATTCCCCTGGTGGGTGGGGTGATGTGGGCCTTGAAAAAAAGTGGGGCGGGGCTGCTGCTGGAGGGGCCTGAGTCCCAGCTCTCACCTCACAGGAGGTGCGCTGGGTGCAGCTGTACAATAGCCAAACTTCATCCTGGCAAGAGGGAGTTGAAGGTTTATCAATAGATGGGATCATTCCATATTAATACTGGTAGCATCATAGGAGAACCAGCTCTGGCTTTCAGTGAATGAGTCTCTTCCCTGCACGCATCCTAAAAACAAATAAAAAGATTTAAGCATGGATTTTATCTCCACGTGCACCACCATCAAAGCTTGGGGCTGTAAGAGAGGATGAGCCATGTCAAAAAGGAGGCATCCCTTCCCCTTGGAACGGCTCATGCTAATGCGATCGGCTAGGTAGCATGTGTTGAGTGTGCAGCTGTGCAAGTGTGCTCTGTGAGAAAGTGAGACTGACTGGCTTGCAAGAGAGGGCATGCACCTCCTCCGCCCCTTCTCTCTAACCTTGGTGCCTCATTTGAATTCACCAGGCTTTCTCCCCAGATGAGGGTTAATGCAGGGTGCATCTCAAACCCAGAGCTGTTCTTTGAATCACCTGGTATGCAGCTTTTTCTCCCAACTGTCATGTAAAGGTAGAATTGTGTGTGGAACTGCCCCAGCAAAACAACCTCAGGCAGTGAACTGATAAATGACTCCGGAGTCCAGTGCAGATTGTGTCTTCTAGGCACTGAAAAGCAACTGCAGGCAGTTTTCCAGAACAAAACCTGCCCTGGGAAAAGTGGAATGTTGAATCTTAATAAAAGATAGGAAGTTGTGTTGTGGGGGGGTGGGTGCACGAAGGGAGGCTCAGCCAATCTCATTGTACACGTTGTACTCTGACAATAAAGCTAATAATAGAAGACTATTGGCACCCATGGTGTGTTGCTCAACAGTAGCTCATGCTTGCTGGTCTAGTTCACATGACATGTTAGACCAGGTTTTGTAGTTTGTGATTCAGGGTATATGGAAAAGGACGTTATCCACATGGCAGGCTGTATCTGTTAAATCACAAAACTTGTTAAGTCATCACAGGGTTATGAGTTTGGGCAGAGCATGTGATAGAAACTCAAGTATGTTGAGTTAGTCTGGGTGAGGTGAACTTGATGGGGGGAGGCACTGGCATTCAAAGGCTCAGCATGTCTTTTGGCCCTGGGGGCTTCCATAGGGCATGCAGTAAAATAAAAATTTTGAAGCTTTAGTAAAAAAGCAAAATGGCAAAAAAAAAACCTGCATTTTTTTGAGTGGGAGTAAACAATCCTGGACTTCTGAAAGAAGTCCTTATTACCCAGAATCCAGTTTTCTTCTTACTGAATCCCTCAGGAACAAGAGGCAATTTCAGCATCCAGACTTTGCCTCCGAGGCAATGAATGCTGAACATATCAGCCCCCTCAGTTGTAACAGCAGGGTTCTGCACGAGTAGCATTTCTGAATATCCGCTGCAAGCAGGCAAGAAAGGCGGTTTGCCAGGGCTCTCCTTGGAGACAGCCAGGGCTGAATGGCCTTTTGCATACACTTATCCCAGCATGCAAAGATCTGGAAAGCTGCCTTTTAAGAAGTGGGATGAACCAAGCAGTGCACGGGGCCAAATTTCCTCCGAGACAGGTTATGCCTGTATCCCTTGAGTCACAGACAAATGCGACCATCTGGAAAATCTGCCTTGCTGATCAAGGGAAGGGTCAGATGGAATAGAGAGGTGGGTTGGCTTCCTTGGAGTGCGGACAGCAGAGCTTGTCCCTGGGTCCAAGGGCCACCACAGCTTTGCTGGCTAAGAGCTTTCTGAGAAAGGTCAAGCAGAGGGGCTGGGATCTGACTCAGCAGTTTCCTGCATCAACAAGATGTCCCGGGCAAGCTAGCATGGCAGGAGGAGGGTCCCACCTGGGCTGACTCACCTGGAGGCTTCTCTCACAATCCCATGACACCTCTGCTCAGAGGCCATGACCAGGAGCCCTTTTGCCTAGGAGGATCTCCCCACCACCACCTTTCCAACCCCGGCTGCCTCCCCCACCAGCTACGCAGCTTCTGTTATTGTCCCAAAGATTGCCCCCCCCACCCCAAATTCTGCAGGCTGGAAGAGAACTCTGCCCTAATGAGGGAGGACCGCCTCCCGGCCACAGTCTTCGGTGCCCTTCCTTGATTGACAGGTATCATCTGCCTGCGGGCCTTTCCTTTGATGCCCATCAGTTGCCTTCCCCAGTCCTTACAACGGGAAGCTGTAGTGCGGCTAAGAGGATTTGCCAGCTGGATGGGCGCCAAAGCCAAGCGCTCGGAAGGGCGGCCGGCACAAGGAGGAGCGGCTGGCAGGGAAGAGCTCTCTGCTCGGGTGGCACCTCCTGCAGCTCCCGCCTCCCGGCACCAGCAGTTCCTAATGAACTGGGTTAGGAGAGCCGGTGTGGCAGTCGAGGCTCCCTCGCCCTCCTCCCGGGGCGGCCGCGAGGGAAAGGTTGCGGCGGGGAGAGGGCGCGGCGCCTGCCTTCGTCAGAGCCCGGAGGAAAGAGAGGCAGCGTAAATCTAAGCACCCGATCCGAGGCACCGAGGCCAGCCTGCGGCTGGCGCACGTACCGAGGAGCCTCGGGCTGCCTTCGAGGCCGCAGCAGCGGAACGGCCTGGGTGCAGCCCGTGGGATCCCTCTCTGCGCCCGCTCCCCGGCGCTGCGGCGTGACAGACGCTCTCTAAAGGAGCCGAGTTTCCGTTTTATTTTGCCCTCGGTCTCCGCGCTGCAGCTGCGCCTCAGCCAGGCAGGTTTGCCGGTGCGAGCCTGGCACGGCCGCCGGTTCGTTCTTCCGAAAAGGCTCCCGGTTGTCCCGGCCATTCCGCGCAGAAGCCGCGGAGCCCGGCCGAGGGTCGCCCGAAGGCGGCGGCGGCGGCCGCCCCAGGCCTGACCGAGAGTGAGCCCCGCCTCGGCCTCGGCCGCCACGCCCCCTCGGGCTCCGCCCACTGGCTGCGGGGAACGGCTTCGGCGGGACGAAGGGCGCTCCCACCCCCTCTCTCTATGGTCGGAACCGCGGTGGCATCATCATCGCGCGCCGAGGCGGGAAATTCGAGGAGCGGCCCTCGGTTTCCTGGCCCCGCAGTCTCTGGCTGGCCCGCCGGAGGCTCCGGCTTTGGCGCGATGGCCCGGCGCGGAGAGTAAGCGCAATTCCGGCTCTGGCGGAGGCTCCCCCGGAGGAGGGGGAGGTTGATGCCCGTTTTCGAGGGCGATCTCTGGAAACGCCAAGCGGGGCTGGGAGCGGCAGTCTAGACGAGCATGTCGCGTGCGCCTGGGGCTGGGAGTGGGGGGGAGAGCTTCGACGGGGGCTGCTCTGTTCAAGGTCTGAACCTTTCGTTTCCTTGGACTTTTTATGAGGGAGCGGCCTTTCCTGCATTACTTGCCTTTCAAACGGCCTCTATGCTCCTGGAGGTGCCTTTCTTACAGCCGTAGATTTTGTTTTGGGCCACTAATCGACCTCTTACGATCTGTTTCACAGCTCATCATCTTCAGGAAGTGACGATGAATTTGAAAAATGTAAGTATGTAAAAGTTAACCTGCAGAAGTAGAGAAAGTGCTTTTTTTGGAGTATGACTTTCAGTTCCGTTTTCCAAATCGTTAAAGAACAGTTGCTGGAACTGGGTGTGTCTAGTCTGATGAAAAGAAGGACTAGGGGTGACACGATAACAGTCTTCCAATATCTCAGGGGCTGCCCCAAAGAGGGGGTCAAGCTATTCTCCAAAGCCCCTGAGGGCAGGACAAGAAGCAATGAGTGGAAACAAATTAAGGAGAGAAGCAACTTAGAACTAAAGAGAAATTTCCTAACAGAACAATTAATCAAATGAATGAATGAATTCTTTATTGGCCAAGTGTGATAAGACACACAAGGAATTTGTCTTGGTACACCTCTCAATGTACATAGAAAGAATCAAGAATAATAAGGTACAACACTTAATATAGTCATAGGGTACATATAGGCAATCAAATCATACTAGAAAACAGTCAATATAAATCATAAGGATACAAGTGGAACAACTTGCCTCCAGAAGTTGTAAATGCTCCAACACTGGATAGCCATTTGTCTGAAATGCTATAGGGTTTCCTGCCTAAGCAGGGGGTTGGACCAGAACAGGGGTCTCCAACCTTAAGCAACTTTAAGACTTGTGGACTTCAATTCCCAGAGTTCCTTGCTAAGGTTAGAGACCCTGGACTACAAGACCTCCAAGGTCCCTTCCAATTCTGTTATTCTATTCTATCCGCTTTCTACTACAGGTAGTCCTCAACGTATGACTACAATTGAGCCCAAAATTTCTGTTGCTAAATGAAACATTAAGTGAATTTTGCTCCATTTTACAACCTTTCTTGCCAAGGCTGTTGTGAATTACTACAGTTGTTAAGTTAGGAACATGACTGTTAAATGAATCTGGCTTCCCCATTGGCTTTGCTTGTAAGAAAGTTGCAAAATATCAGACCTGCTGCAACTTAAACCTCTAAAAAGAAACGATCCTTGGCTCCATTTGTTGAGAAAGATATAGTCAACTATGTTGCAGTAGTGCAAAGCCAGAACTGAAAATTGCACACCAAAATCCCTCACTTTCCCTTTCTCATTTGCCTCCCATTGCCCACTCCATGTAGCCAGTTGGGTTCAGGCCGGGTATTTTCATAACGGCCAGTTCCAGTACAGGATGGCATGCGGCTGGTATGCCAGGTGACCTTGAAGCAGCTTCCTAAATAGATAAGGGCACTTACTTTCTTTCCCCTCTTGCCTCCCCCTCTTAAATAGGAGTCAGTTGCTAAGCATCCAAATTTTGATCACATGACCGTGGGGATGCTGCGACAGTCATAAGTGTGAAAAACGGTCCTAAGTCACTTTCCAGTGCCATTGTAACGGTCACTAAATGAATTGTTTTAAGTCAAGGACTACCCGTATTCACTTCTGAAAAACCTTATAACACAGGTCTCTATGCTCTTTGGTGAGCATGGCTTAGATGAGGAGGGTCCAATGTTCTGTATAAATGCTATGTTTTTTTCTAGGTTTTTACCATTTAATCAGATCAAAATATTTTTAACCTATTAATGGAAAGTTGATTTTGTTAGTTATCTGGAGCATTTGTTCATAGATATTTAACTTGGTTTTTTTTTTTAAATTTTATTTAGAGAGGCTAAGAGAGAACAATATACACTGCTGAGAAACTGAATAACTTTTAAAATGTACACACAAACACATATCCCACCTTTATTATTTTTATAAATAACTAGAAGCAGCTAACATCTTCCTCCTCCTACTTTCCCACAGCAACAACCCTGTGAGGTGAGTTCGGCTGAGAGCGAGTGGCTGATCCAAGCTCACCTAACTGATTTTCATGGCTAAGGCAGGACTACAACTCACAAACTCCTCCTTTCTAGGCAGGTGCCTTAACCACTAGGCCAAACTGACTCCCTAAAATAATGAAAAATAATTGAGTAGGGGCATGTTATAATCTTTGTCATGTAATAACTGGTCTTTGCACTGTGTGACTAATGTCTTTCCTTGATCTCTCTGGCTCTGTTACGGTCCAAGTAGCCTCCTTGTGGCATTCTGCAGATAAGGAATCCAATATTGAAGATGCCAGTATGGGAATCAAAGTGATTGCAGATCAGTTAGGTCTGCAAAAAGAAGCGCTCTGTGCTGAGAATGCCAAGTGCCTTCAGTGACACAAAAGAGCTTATGCCTTGGTCGGAGTTGCCTCCTTTTCCTGTGTAAGAGATCAAGTCATGCTGGGGAAAGCACTGAGAAGGTCTCTGCACCTTAATTGCTGGAAGGCTATACATAGACATATCTATATATATGGATCTTTGGTTGTTCGGGTTTTCTCCCACGTAAGATTCGAAGTACCTAGGCAACGTTTCGATGAAGTCTCATTCATCGTGAGTCTCACTCATGAGATGTGATGTCTCACTCATACATACATACACACATATTACAAATTATTCTAAAAATACGAGTTCCAGGTATACTTGTAATACTCTGACGATGTCAGCTGCCATTATGGAGATCTATGCCTTTATATATCATTAATCAATTTAGCCCTTGCACAGGTGATAGGCCCTTCCAACTGCCTCCCACCCATAATTAACCCTGTTTTTGCTTCAGTCATGTTAGTCAAAGGAGGGTTATCTCTTGTTGTTTCCTCTTGCCAGACCTAGCCTGGAATGCTTATCTCTAAGAAGTGAAGTTAATCTTCCAGCTATTGCAATTTGTTGCCTTGCTTGTGACCTTGTGGTCGGCCCGGCTCGTTCTTCATTATTCCTGTCCATTATAACTTGGGGCAGTTCTGCCAGGCTCCTCTGTATTTGAACAGTCCTGGCTGTGCCTTCATAGGATGAATCCACATGCCCAGGTGTGTGTGTTGGTTGGGGGGAGGGTGCGCCATCAATCCCTACTCCCCGATGGGAAGTGGTCTCTGCTCCTCCTGCAGGGTGTTTCCTGGTGTCTCAATGCTTGGTAGGCCGGTGGTAGTTCGATATGCCAATTGATAGAATTTCTATTGGAAAACTAGGCTTGTTTTAGTAGATGTCCTCCTTTAGTTATATCACGTGTAACCCCAGCCTCTTGAAAACTGAATGTGTGATTATGCTCCTGCATACGTGCCCACATCTGAAAGCGCTGTTCTTTGCGCCAGATGGCCAGTTCGTGTTCATGTACCCTTGTCTGTAGCCGCTTGGTTGTTTCCCCTATGTAATTGCTTGCACAGTTTAATAGGGTAGACTCTCATCGTAGTACACTGACAGCCAAAGCCAAGGAGCGGGCATATCTCTATCAGGTCTGCAAGCACAATGGTTATTCCATGGACTTCATCCGAAGGTGTACTACACCCAAGGCCTGGCAACCCATTGAAAGTGCCAGTGGAACAGCTACGTGGAGGGTGCTCCTGTATATACGGGGAGTATCTGAAACTGCTGCACGCATTTTCCTGGAGCATAGAGTCAAGGTGGCGCACAAACCAACCAAACTCTAAGAATAAGAGTGATGCGTTCAAAGGAAGCACTACCCAAGGAGGAGACATCTTCGGTGGTTTACCTCATCAACTGCAGTGACTGTGCAAGCAATTTCGTAGAGGAAACGGCCAAGCATCTACAGACAAGAGTACATGAACACAAACTGGCTGTCTGGCACAAAGAACAGCAAATAAAGCTGTTACTATGGATGGTGATATTGTGGAAGCTCACCAGGGAGTTGCCTGACGATGATGGGACAAACCAATACCTCTCCCAGTTCCACAGGACCCTACCACTGTTCTGATAGAAAAAACCAAGGTCAGTTGTATGACCACTATTCTATGTTGGGCTCTGGATGACTTGGGACAGATTCATGTCTATTGTAGTGGCCATGAACTCTTAGGTACCTCAGACTCCATGGCCAGGGAAGGCCATAACCCTGGGGAATTCCACCGTCAGCACAGAACAGACTCAAGAGAAGTTGCTATGCAGCAGCGGGGCTGGTACAACAGCAGTCCCAACTGGTCCCTCTTAGTGCCTAATTTAACAAATAGTGCCTTGCACATCTGGCAATCGGAGGAGCAGGCCCCCTGGCTGCTTCCCAAGTATCTCAGATGATTGCCGCCACCCCCATTGCCCTTCCCGGGGGTCCTGGCAGGTGTTGGACCCAGAACATCACTGGGCATATCGCAGGGAATGCCTCCCCTCCCAACCCAACCCGATTCTCTCCTGATAATGCTTGCCAAGTGTCAGGCACAAAGAATTAGGACTGTCTGTTAGATTTCAGGGTAGAGTGTCAGGGTTCCAAGGAACAAGCCCAACGCAATCAAAACTCTGAGGCTTGGGGTTTCCTCAGAGTATGAATTTATTAGGAATGTCATATTGGCACAGCTGGTGAAAACCTGACTTTGAAGGACCCGAGGTTTTCCCCACCCAAACTAAAACCCAAAGTCCATGCCCCCAGGTCAGACATCCGTCACATGGTCCAACCAGGTCACAGTCCCAGCTCCCGTTGATTTCAGTCCATGCCTTCCCAGCACCTGGTGAGAACCTCCTTGGTTCCCAGGAGAAAGAATTTTATTTTGGCGATGCATCCCCAGCTATCTCCCCCCCCACCCACCCCCCATTCCCACAACTTCAACTGGACTTGCAGTGGCAGTCCTGAAGATGCTCCCCAAATGGCTTCAGGGCTGACCTAGAAGATTTCTTCAGGCATAAGAATCTGGTCAACTAAAGTTCAATACTAAATTGACACCAGAGAAGAGTCAGTGGCATTCAGGAGGGGTTGGACTTGGACCACTTATGGGAATAACCCTAACCTTTACCTCAATCTTCCAGCCAGGGCTCCCTAAATACTCGAGCCGCTTTTTTCAGTCTTAGGCATTCAGTGCCTCTAGTTCGTCAGGGATCACACCCACCCACCCACCCCCAATCTACCAGCCACACTGCCAACAGTCATTCCCCTCTCACCAGACTGCTGTGGCCAAAACTACAAGCCAATAACTAACCCCCACACACCCCCTCACTGGTGGGAAATTAAAGTAGAATCTCACCGCCTGCTAAACGTTCTCCTACGACGACTAGTCCCCGTTGCAATTAAATCCATCCAGTTAAAGCCTCCTGGATGGTGACGATTGCTGATTAAAAGTTCATGCAGAAGGTGGTTCCCAGGGCCTTCCAGATCTCCCCCGGGGGAAAGGCAAGAAGGTTACCCAACGAAGTGGCAGGGGGAGCTGCGAGCACAGCCCCTCCCCGCCAAGCCACAGAGAGGCTGGACTGGCCCTGGCCCTGGCCCTGCCCCTCCCACAGCAGAGTCCCTCATTGCCCCACGATGCCCACGGCGGGAAAGGCAGCCCCTTCCAGCAGCGCCCGTCCTCCTTGCCCAGAGGCCTAGGTCCAGAGGGCCCTGTGTCCTTTGACACTGGCCTCTCCGCCGCACGGAACACTTTCTTTGGGAAACAGCTGGTCCGCACAGCTGGTGGCCCCACAATCCAGCTGCCAGTACCGGTTCCCACAGCCAGTTCTGCCTGCAACCCAGGAAGGGAATGGACACACAATTCTGGCTTGTATTTGGTGGGTTTCTCTGTATTAAACTTGGAAGCCACCCAGCGTCCCCTGTGTGAGATGGGTGGCCATATACTCCAAGGTGGCAGAGGGAGCAGGAACAGACCTGGCTGGGCTTGGGGAGGTCCTTTCAGAGCTACGTCCATCCGACGTCACCTTGAGGAAAGGAAGAGGAGAGGCTGCCTAGGAAACGGTCAGATGAGAGAGGCAGAAGCCCCGCCCCGCCCTCCCCAGACTTTGCTTGTCTGAAGGTTGCAAGGGGGGGGGATCACGCAAGCGCCTTGGACGCTTCGGCTGTCGTGAACACAGTCGCCAAGGCATCTCTATTTTGATCACGTGACCGGGGGGGGGAGGCCGCAACGCTTGTGTGAAGAACAGTCGTAAGTCACGACTTTTTCCAGTGCCATTGTAACTTTGAACAGCCACTAAACAAACTGTTGTAAGTCAAGGACTACCTGTATCTGTATCCTGGACTCGCATGTCTGAAAGGGCGCACTCCCTTTGACCGACCCTGGTTGCTTCTCCCGCTGCCTGCAAGTTTCCAATGGCCATCCCAGCACGCTCTTTCCAGGAGGAGTCCAGTGGCCTCCCCGTTAGGCCCGAAAGAGCCTGAAAGGGAAGTGAATTCTTAATTAAGTTTAATTTGCTTTTGGAGAGTTTAATCGTTTAAGGGAACTAACTTCTGTTCTGTTCTGTGGCTTGTTTTAGTTTTGTCTAGAATGAGAATCCCCAGATCTGCTTCATGTTGCACACCAAGGACAAGAAACAGCAGGTGTGTCTGAAATTTTGTACTTTACGTTGATTTGGACTTCCTGAAACATACTCAGTTTTAAACATTTTAAGATCTGATTGGACAAAGGGTGTGTAATTTATGCTTAGTAAACAAAATTTTAAAAGAGCCGTGTTAATTTCTACATGGTTTTTGCAATTACCTTAATAATTCTGTAATTTATGTATTTATTTGACCAACGTATATGGCCACACATCTCAGTGTGTGATTCTGAGTGGTTTACAGCAAAAACAGTTAAAAACAACAGCAACTGTTCAAAGAAAAAGTAGCCAAGTTTTAAGGGTGTTCTGGAAGGAAGGCTGGTAGATTAGGATCAGGCTAATCTAGGACCTTGCTGGTTAAGAATCAGGCAGGTTTGCTTTGGCTGTGCAGAGGACGTTCAGTGGGGTTCGCTCTGGAAGAGGCATCTTAGATAAGAAGGGGCCACCCTGCATGTCTGACCCTTTGAACTAGTAGCTGCCCCAGGAAAAATGCTCTTTCCTAGGAGCTTCAGCAGTGCCAGTTAAATAAATATTCCAACAAAATCAGTATTTCCCAGATTTCAGGAAAGGCAGAACCATCATCTTTAATCTTACCATGTTTCTTGTTCCAAAATCCAAGATGCCAAGGTTGCCACTTAGTAGAAGATTTCGTGCTCAGGGAGAGCATTGGGTTCATTAGGTGAATTCCTTGATCAGGAATTTAAAATATCATAAGTAATAGGAGAGCTTCTTGCTTCTCCAAAATTTCCTCTTAGCTTCCTTTTAAACAAACAAACAAAAGTGGGTTTCTCGGAGAAAGCGAGAACAGGTGTATGGGCAAGCCCAGTGGATGAGGACAAGGTGCTTGCCAGAAAAATACTTAGAAAATAATATTTGCAGCTCAGGGGTAAACTGAGTTGGGGTCCTTGGTGCTCTCTGAGCTTGGTTCCTTCCTTGCAAACATTTCATGATCCAACTATGTAGCATTGTCAGTGCTAGAAGGGAGCGGGGTTTGCCTTCTGTCTCTATATAGGTGGCTTCCCTTGTCCGTGTTGGTGGGAGTGGCCTTGGAGGTCCCTCAGTTAGACTCCTGTTTACTTGTTTGCCTGAGTTGCTTTCACGATTAGATTATTTTGTACGTCTTGATTGTTGGTGTAATATTATTAATCAAAGTTAATCTCTGCTCATTTGAATGTTGATTGCTGGTAAGGAAGTGGGTTTTTTTTTTTTTTTTGAGCTTTGGGGAACTCAGACAAATCAGCTATCAAGAGGCACATAGAGGTAAACAACAGTCTACATACCTTTCCAAAGAGACAGTCAAAAAACCATTTAATCACATTTATATAACCGCTCATCTCATCAGAAGTGACTCTGGATGGCAGACATAAATCAGACAAAACCACAATATAAAAACAATAATAAAACAGTAGACAATCTGTAGTAAAAAAAATTAAAAATCATGTATAAATTAGAATATGGAAACTGCAGTAGAGAGAGAAGTATAACTATACTATATAGTAGAGAGGTGATATTGTAATAATAATGAGAATTGAACAGTAGTATAGAAGTTACTCTAATATACTAATTTAGAAATAATGGCAATAAGATAAAATGTAGGATGGAGAGAATAGAAACCATTTGCATATAGATTTCTAAGTTTTTAAGGTACCTTGGATTTTTTTTTTTAAATAATAATAAAACTTCTCCCCAGCGGGAGATACAGCAACTCCCTGCCCGGGGCTTTTGTGGCTCTTGAGTTTCCCCCAAAAAGCCTGGCCTGGAGGAGCTCGCAGAAATGAGGTGTTTTGAATGGGAGGCTTCCCGCTTCCCCCGTGAGCCGCTTCTCCTGGATACTCCTCGAAGGGCCTCCGAGAGACGTGGCCACAGTAAAAGGTGCAAAAGAAAGCCCCCCTGGTGGCTCCATGGGAAGACCCAGGCCGCTCTGCTGAGAACAGCCCAGGAGGGTCTGTCTTTGCCCCGGCCAGAAGCCCTGAGGCTTCCTGGTTGTTCTCTCCCCCACCGCAAGGACCAACCAGGCCTGGTTCTTGTGAACGTTTTGAGATCAGTCAAAGTTGGTGGCAGAAAATGAAATAATAGTACATACACGACCATAGAACCAACTAAGAAATATTGGGGGAAATGAGGTATATTTATCACCGCCCTAACAAGGCCCTTTATATTGCAAGCACTGTTGATTCAGCTGATTTTCCAAAAAAAAACCCATCAAGGATTTTCCCAGGGGTTGCGGGAAAGAGATCTTTGACTTTGACTTTCATGAACTGTTTTCTATTTCTTTTGGTGATCACCCAAAAGTGCATGTGCTGTCCCAGCCAGTCTATGAGAATTGGATAGTTACTTAGGAATTATGAGCTGTCCCCTTAAGGGAAGGCATCATGGTAAATGTAGTTAAAAGTATCCTGGGAAATGTAGTTCATGTCACATCTGTAATCCGGATTGGTCACTAATTTAACCCTCCGTGGGTTGGGGGGGGCAGGGTTTCCACACTTCTGCCTGAACTCCCTAACTCATGGCAGCTGCTTTCTATCGCTACGAGATGGGTTAGGAGATCACCACCTTTTACTACAAGGCAGATATGCAAAGGATTGGTCATTAAAGAAGAACTTCATCACAAATGTGAGTTATGAGGATACCTGATGAACCAATAAATGTACTTTGTTATGGACGTCTTGTTGAGTGTATCTATCTGCATCTGCACAGCTTAAAAATCCACTACTGTGCAGAAGACAGAAAAACGCAAAAGTGCATGATGAGCCTCAGGCCAGTAATAGCCAGATAGGCTGTTTATTTCATATTTAATATTTAAAACTTCGTTACGAAGGTTAAAGTGAGACTTGCTTGCTTTTGTAAATTTAATCTCCATATCAGCTAAATGTTTTTAACAATGGAAAAGAAAAGTCAAGCAGACAGGATTTTAATTTCTTACAGCAGGGAAGGGAAGGGCACTCCCAGTTTGGAGCCCATTGAAAGAGGGGAGGCTGGTGTAGGAGAAGGACTGGCAGAGCCAGGAGGAAGGGTGAAAAGAGGGATTATCCTGGCTTGAAAGAGTGGTCCAGGAGGCCATCTGTGTCCAAACTGAACAGTCCTCTCTCGGGTGGGAAATATGGCACCATCTATCTCCAGTCTACAACACAGTCCTCTCCGCAGTTCCAAGAAGGCTCCACACCTATTTGCACTACTCAGGTGACCCTGAGGACACAAATAAACCTCTAAGTGGCCTCAACAACTCTAAAAAGAATGCAAATGACCAGCTGTCTGCAAGGAATATAGATCCTTCCATTCCCCACCATCCAATCAGAGCTGAAGAAGCTCCTTGGATGAGAAGCTAAATGTCTTCAAAGAAAAACCAGAAAGTCCAGTTGCCTCTTGAAAAAGCCCCTTTGGGGTTATCCTAGCATCACTAGGTAGCCAAAGGCAAAGTCCAAATGGCCACCCTCGACTCACCCTTATCTAACTAACCAAGCGCTGGCCATCATTTGAGAAGATTCCTGTCCCTAGGCTTTTAGCAATAAATCAGTGACACGTGGAACTTTTGTGCCTGACATCTGGCTTGTCATGAGCCCCAAGAGGTGACGGGCTGAGCGGCAAGAACAGAACAGAACAGAGTTGGGAGGGACTTTGGGGCCTCTTTCGGGTCCAAAAAGGGCCTGCCTGAGTTTAGCCCAGCAATGTAATAATGGACCGTATTGGGCTGCAGGGCCTGCTAACTTCCTGGGTGGGAAGGGGGGAGTTTTAAAAATCCTTATTTGCTTTCAGAGTTTAATTCTTAATCCTATTTTTTTTCTCTCACTTCTCTCCATCTGAAAAGTTCAAAGAATTTGTTTAGCTCTCCTGAAGATAAGTATGGATTTGCAGCAAAAGGCAAGTAAAGTCAACCCCCCCTTCCCCTTTTTAGGAGCTGGGCTTTGCAGTTTGTCTGCTTTTTTCTTTCCAAATTCTTAAAGGGGGCTAGAGTGCAGCAGCCCAATTTGGCACTGGACATCCCCTTTTGTGCAATCAGAAATGCCAACTGGAGAAGATTATAATTTTTAAATGCCTTCCTCGTCATTGTGACTGCTGTTGGATGGCACTCTTGTAGCCACGCTAAAGGGCCGCCATCTTTCAGTTAAGTTCCCTGGGAATAATGCTAAGCAACCTCTCGCCATGCCCTCCCTCGCCCTCTCCAGTAAGATTACCTAGGGGAAGGGTCTGCAGGCTACATTGTTTCTGAGGAAAAGACGCTGGCAGAATTTCCTTTGAGCTGTTCTCTGAGGTTGGCTGTTTTCTTGCATTACCCAAGCTAGGTAACCCCATCGGTGTTAGTAGCGGGGTGGGATTTGCCCTCTGGTTGTATACCAAAGGGGTTGTCCTGCCAGTGGGGATGTGGTGGTCTTAGAGATTCTTGGTTTGGACTGCTCACCGTTACCTTGTTTGGCAGTTCCTTGATTGGGGTGTTGTTTACCTCTTGACCGTTGGTGTCAGGGCTGCCCCTGATCAATCCCTAGGAAAGAAAATGCTTGACTCCATAGGTTCAGAGAAAAGGTACTTTTACTAGGGAAGAACTCCTTGCAGCAAAAGTCAGGCAAGGTCTGAAGCAAAGCGTGCGTGAAGAGAGAAATGGAAACTAACCCCAGAGCCCAGCCCAGCTGCCAGGCAACCAGAGTTCAGTCATTGGACAGGAAGATGTTTTGGGAATGTCTCTGGTCCAGGTGCATTGCTCCTCCAGGATGGTTGGCCTTGAAGATGTTAAACAACCGGAGCGAGCTGGCCATTCTGATTCCAGGCCTCCCCGTCGCTTCTCAGAAATCCCACTTTCTCCTCCTGCACGCTTCCCCTCCCAAATACCCATCGCTTCCTTCCCCCCCGGCCCATTTCCATGGCAGCTGGCAGCTAGCTTGAAAGAAAGTGAAGATGCAGGCTGACATTTGGTCTGATCTTAAGAGTCTCCTTGGTCACTGGCTGTTGCCGTGAGTTTGAAATAAATGAGACTCCATGATCAGGGGCTAAATAATTTTATGTAAAATGTATGCCCAGCTACTCATGATGCCAAGCTAACTATGCCTTACGTCATAAAACTGATCAGGGATTATGTGTGGAAGAGACACCACCAGGAAAGGCAGCATTGTAGGTAGACGGGGGAGTTGAGAAAAAACCTGAGGACAAGGCCATCAAAGTCCTGGCCCACGGGCTGGATGATGCATCACGCGCTGGCCATGCGTGCACCCAGTTTGGCAAAGGGGGGGAAAGCCCCGATGCGTCACGTGACGCTACCGTGACAACGCGAGTTTGGCACCCCTCCCTTAGGAGAAGGGAGCAGCCAGCCATTTCTGCCAAGAAGAACTCCTTCTCTGCTCTACCTACTTTATGAATATGCCCAATCTGCCATAGAAGACAAGCTTTTGGAGAAATGGGAGGCATGAAAGTTTAATAAATAATTTTTTGAGAATATTTAATTGCATTGGATGGAAACTCAGCAAGGAGAGAAGCAACCTAGAACTAAGGAGGAATTTCCTGACAGTGAGAACAATGAACCGGAGGAACAGAAGTTGCCTCCAGCAGTTGTGGAGGCTCCGACACTGGGAGACTTTAAGGTAGAGACTGGACGGCCATTCGCCTGAAGTGCTTTCCTGAAGGGCTTCCTGCCAGAGCAGGGGGCTGGACTGGAAGACCTCCAAGGCCCCTTCCAACTCTGTTCTTCTGTTCTATTGCAGATTCACGACCTCTCCGTGCAGCAAAAGCCTCCGATGTTGCTGGAAGGGCGGCTGCCTGCTCTGCTGGGTCTATTTTCTCCCCACTCTCGTGCAGTGACCCCGACAGTGAGGACGATCCCGTCTTTGTTGGAGGCCCCCCAGGGAACCCCTCCCACCCCCTGCCTCCTGCCTCTCCTTGGAGGGGCTCCGCTGCTTCCTGGGGGAGGCCAGGCTCTTCCCTCCTCCAGAGCCAGCGGCAGAGCTCAAGGGAGTCGGAGAGCTCCGATGAGGAGGTGGAAAGCCTTGTGGTTCGCATGAAGCGAAGGTTCTTCTTCCCTGAAGCCAGGAGGGCCGGGAGCCAGCAAGGCCCCCGTGGTAAGAGGTGGCCCTTTCCTGGGCTGATTCGAGCGTGGGGCTGGCTGGGCCAGGCATGCAGGACGGCTCTTGTAGGAGTTGGGGTTGATGTAGGTTGTTCAGGATCAGAAGCCATAAGCCCCTCAATAAGCTGTGCGCTGTTGTGGGAGCCGTTGCTCTTCCTGGACTCCTGTGGGAGCACGTGGGCCCAAGGAAATGCACCTCTGAGCCGGGGGGAGTACGCGTGCGGGTGGGGGGCCCTGGAATAACCAAGTCCTCGGTAGCATTGCTGGCATGGAAGAGGGGTGTGGCGTTGGGTCTTCCTGCTTCCAGCAATAGGCCAAAGGGAAGCTGTTTCCGTAGATGTCTGTGGAGTTTCTCAGTCGTCCAGGTCATGGTTGTCCCAAAGGTGCTTTTTTCAAGAGGTAAAGTCCAGTTGCTTCTTGAAAAGAGCCCCCGGGGGACGGTATCTGGAGAATTTCAAGTCACAGAAGGAGGGAGGGAGGGAGGTGTAAATCCAGCCCTTTTCAAGTCCACCCACCAGTGTTTCACCCACTTGGGCCATTTCGCAAATGACGATAAAGGCCCAGCTTCGTTACGATGCCTGTGGGCTTGTGCCGGCTGTTACAGCAAGTCTCTTTGTCCTGCTATGTAGGCAGAGCTGCTTCCATATTCCACTCTTGGTCTCCTGGCTTGGGGCTTGGGAACGGAAGAGCTGCCTGGAGTCCTTTGCCTTGGCCTCAAGTTCTCCTGAGCGGTTATTCCCGTCTGGTGAGCCAAGCCTGGTCAGGTTGATTGGCAGCTCCGTGCTGAGCATTCTCTTTGCCACTTGCAGAGGAGGGAGGCCTGGGGTCTTCCCTTGAAAGCCCAGCCACGGCTGCGAAGAGCAAGGGCAGCCTTCCCTCAGCAGCCAGGATCCCTGCTCCTGGCACACCGCCTTCCCCCGGGACTTCTAAGAGCAAGGCCCTCCTGGATATTACTCAGTCAGCTACTCGGATGCAAATGGGGTGAGTCTCTGCTGCTTCTTTACTATTCCTTTCAGAGTCCAAACAGCTGGCTGATTTTTCACACATCCATTAGGAGAAACATTTTTGCAGCGAGTGAATAAGACTTGCAAAGTGAGAATTTAGCACTGTTTGGACCTCGATCCTTCTAGGTATATTTGTTTCTCTGTTTATCAAATTTATATGCTGCTGAATAGTAATTGATTGGAATTGATTCATGCTGGACAAAATGGAACCGCTGTGTTTTCAACTACAACAAATACAGTGCAATGCTACTTTCTGAATTTCGCAATAGGGTTCAAGATAGTGCCCAGTTACTCCCCAAAGACCCTCCCCAGCCTTCACCATCAGCAGGGAAGGCCAGCATCCTCTCTAAAGAGACAGGAGAATCATGGTGGGGAAGCAGCAGAGTCTGGCATCTGATTTCCCCGGAGCCAAGACGTACGGATGCCTGGCTCTTCCAGTATTTCATTTTGACTACTAAAGGGCTCCCGATGTAACCGAGGACCCCCAGATTTCTCAATGGGTCTGCCTGGGGCAGGGCCCCTCCATACAGGACTAGTGGTGGAAGAACCTTGTCCCCAGCGCCACTCCGTCGTGCCTGGGTTGACTCGGAGCCCATACCATACATCCAGAGCCTTGCAACCCCAGAGTAGCGGACAAAGGGAAGGGCTCATATTTATACATTTCAGAGAGGAGGAGAAACTGATGCATGCATACATGGTCGGTCTCAGGTTACTTCCTGTCCTAATGATGGAATCGGTCTCAGGTTACTTCCTGTCCATCTGTTGTCCGCAGAGAACAGTTTGCACCTTGAGACTCAGGAGTGGGGGTGGGTTGCGCTGTCCCGATAGAACCTCACAGTGGGCCACAGCGAGTTAGGCATTGCACAGCCATTTTGCCTTATTTATCTGAAAACTGATTTTCGTCGCAGCACACAGCAAAAGAATTGTGCACAAGTGCCTTTAATATCCCAGTTTTGGCCTGATATTTCTGTTGCAATGTGTAATATTTGGAATACGGGGAGACCGAGAGAGCTGAGGGGAACGGAAGACGTCTCTGTGTGTACTGTAGTTAGAAGCAGGCCAGGGTTCCTTGGGCGAGATCTGAGGCTTCTCTGCTCAGGCAGTCATGGACGGATCTTGAAAGTTGCTTAACCGCGCCCAGTTCTTCAGGAGACGTTCCTTATTTTATTTGTGTTTTCAACCTCCTTTTCAAGATTAAGCATAGATTGGGGTGGGAAGCTCCCAGCTAAGTGATCTGAGGCAAGCCTTTTAAGGCCAGGGTGACCCTGTCCTGCCTCTCCAATGAGAACAGGAGGATCTCGGCTTTTCTCTTCCCAGGGGACCCTGCCGCGTCCAGGGCTGCTTCCTGCAGGAATTGTCAGACCCAGAATCCCAACTAGCAAAACATTTCCAGAGCCAAAAAGAAGGGCTGGCTCAAAGGCTGTATTCTTTTTACAATCATTCTATCTTTGAGGAGAAGGTAGGAAATTCGGGTTTTGCAAATTCAACTTGCAGCTACCCTTAACAAGGGCTCAACTTTGCCTGGCTCATCTTCGCAAGATCCTTGTTTCCCTTTCACCATGGTTTCCTCTCCTAAGCCCGGTGTCCTGAGCCAAAAATTCAAAATGGAAGCAGCATTTGTTCTAGTGCTGGGCTTTGACAGAAGACAGATGAGGAAATGCCTGGCTTCTGCCACCTGCCCAAGACCAGCCAGAAATTTCTCCTCCAGGGGGAGACAAGTGGGGAGAATTGGCTCCTCTCATCCAGGCTGGCCAGAACGGTCTGCTTGCAGTGTGGGGCCAGAATGGCCTGGGTGGCTCGAGGGGAGCTCAGTGCCAAGCAGCAGCAGTGGAGAATTCCACCTTGGCCCGGCAATTGGAGTCCCGCCTTGGCCCTGTGTCGGTGTCTGCTGCTTGCCTCCCACCCTTGTTCTGCAACAAGGAACGTTAAACTTTCACAGCAAAAGATGCTTACTCTGAGAGCTGAACCCAACTCTTATAACTTTGGATGTCTCTTGCTGCCTGTCGTTTCTCTTAGCTGCCCGAGAGAATGGAGATGATCTGGAATAAGAAGATGCAGAAGACCGCAGGGTGTTGTGTAACTGGCCAGCTGAAGAACCCAGAGATGCAGCGTTACGCCAAGATAATACTCTCAGAAAAAGTCTGTGATTCTGCAGGTGGGCCCTCTCGCCTTTCTGGCTAGAACAGGTGTAGTCACAGATGGCATGGATGCAAAGGCAAGTTCTCTTCTATAGAGGAGAAGATCTGTAGCTCCGGGTTGAAATGGGGGGGGGGGTCCTTGGTGCTCTCTGAGCTTGGTTGTTTTCTGGCAGTTTTCTTCCTTCCCCAAACTGTGTGCTGATGCTGTTCCCTAGTTTGGATTCTGCAAGGAAACAACCGAGCTCAGAGAGCACTAAGGACACCCCACCCACCCCCAACTCTCCTTTAGCACTCTGAGCTGGAAGGGGAGGGATACCACTTGCTAGGTTCAGTTATGAAAGATTTAAACAGGAGACACAATGGTAATGGAGAAAGAAAAGGGAAATATTCTCTTTTGTAAATCCAATATAAGTAAGTTATCCCAGTCAGTCTTTTGGTTTCTTATTTGTACATCCTTTTTTATTATTATTAAAACATCAGTCAGTTTCAATTTTATGTCCATCATGATAACTTTTTCCATATCATTATTGTGGCCTTTCATTTTTAAATCCACTTTCAGATCAGTCTCAGTCTTGTTTGGTAAATCTTGTTCATCTTCCATAATATTTTTTAAACACAGTCTATCTATAATAGCAGGCATGTAGTTCCTAAAATTAACCTCTGGATCCATTGTTCACATGTATTCCTTTCCCCACCCCCCAGTTTTATTTGCTTTACTACGTATAATACCGTATATAAAAAAATCCATTTCAATCAAACTGTGTGTTGTCTGGGTACAATTGTTTTTAGGCGGTCATATTAGGTGTTTACAATAACATTCATCACAATAACATTAATATGCAATAACAATAATATTTAGCTTATCCATTTTAACAGATTTCCATTTTAACATTTATCCTTTTTATGTCCCTATCTTTCTAGCTTCGGTTTTTATTGTCTAACCATTCATAAAATAAGCCCCATGTCAAAAAGTATTTAGTTTCTTCTTTGTCCTTAATAGTAAACATTAGTTTATCCATTTCTGCAAATTCTAGTATTTTCTTAATTGCATTGTCATCTGTTGGGATCTCATCACACTTCCACTGTTGAGCATATACAATTCTAGCTGCAATTAGTACATGTAAAATCAAATATATAGTCTCCTTATATTTTTCCAGCAGAACACCCAATAAAAATATTTCTGGTTTCTTGAATTTCTTGTTCACATATGTTCTTCGGTATCTCCCATGTTAAAGTATTTTGTTCCATTCTGTATTAGTAAATCCAATTTAAGTGGTCATCTCTTTTAATTGTAATCTTTAGATTTTCCTGGTTCCTTTTAATGGGTGTTCTTCAAAGTCTCATCCTATCATTAAAAAAAAAAAGAATCCAAAACAACAGCATTTTCCTATGGAAAGAATCCTTATAATTAAATTCTAAATCTTATTTCAAATCCATCTGGACCCTTAGTTATAATTTTTTTCAAAGTCAATGTTATAATCACCCTTTTGCTATTTATTCCAAAAAAAGAGAATGTTTTAAAAAGTCCTTAAATTTAAATATTTATATTTAAAACTTCTTTCATTAAGAATTAAAGGTAACTCATTTGACACTCTAAAACTTTGTTGCAAAGGTTCCTAATAACAAAACAATTAACAAGCAAGTTCCAAAACTTAATTAGAAAAGGAAGTATGTGATCCCTATGTCTCTAAAAGCATTGGCCACCATTTGAGCAGAGATGGCCTTCCCCCAGAGCTCTGAACCCCCTGGAGATGCCCGTCTTGTGGTTTCCTTGTGAGGAGCGACTTCCTGGAGCACTGGTGGGCGATCACAAGTCATCTTCATATTCCGGGTGGGATTACAAAGAGCCGGTCAACTTGCCAGCTCTTCGTTCTGCCGCAGTTATCCTTCAGTTCACCGTTTTTCACCCATAAATCCTATGGATAATTTAATTGGCAGGGTAGTGATAGCTGTCTCCAGCACCAGATAGATTGTGGAAGAATCAGGTGCTGCTCTTAGGAAGAGAGTTCCCCTTTGGAAGTTTCAGCCATGTTTTTCGTGTGAAATTGAAAACCATTCCTCTGATTTCTTATTGTCCAGGAATGGTAGAGGGGGGCAGGGAGGAGTGGTTTCAGATTTGCAGTTCTTACTTTAATACAATTTGGGCAGTTGCAGTGTCCAAACCATTTGGCTCTGTTCCCCTCCTCCCCCTGCCTCCAATATTCATACAAATTGGGCTTCCTGTGGGTTCTTCAGCAGCAACCAAGCAGTTGTCCTTCTAAATGAGGCAATTTTCAGCTCTTCTGCATTATTGGGAGCATCATGTAGCTTGATCATTTTTGTTCTTAATGGTGGCAAGAAATCAGGCCAACTGGAGGAAATTGACCGCTTGGTTAAATTATCGTTTCTCAGATTTAAACTGCAACGATATTCTCTGCTTTACCATTTGTATGAATAAAGATATTATATTTCTAGTTCTCCTGCCCACCTAGCAGTCAAAAACAGGCAACCGCGAGTAGATAAATAGGTACCACTTAGGTGGGAAGGTGTAACAGTGCTCTGTGCACCTCTAGCATATATCCATGCCGGCCACAGGATCTTCAGACAATGCTGGCTCTTTGGCTGTGAGACGGAAATGAACGCTCCCTCCCTAGAGTCGAACACAACTGGACAGGAGAAGCCTTTACTTTTTATTATAAGTTCACATATCCTATATGGTGGTTTTTAATTGTTCTTGGCTAAGTGTTCCGCTCCAGAATAAAGCATTAGCTGGAACATTATCGTAGGAGAAGTGGCGGGATCTGGCGGGGCGGAGTCAAAAGAGGAATCAGCCTCGAGTTGCCATGTAGCTACAAACTAAGCCCAACCTCTTGAATTCTGTTGACAGCATTAGTTGAGTAGATTCCTGTGCTGAGGCATGAGTAATAATAGATCAGTTTATTTGGGACTTCATGCGAGGTCCTGGTCTTCCATGCCTAACAAAGTTAACATTTTATCCTTCGTCTCAGAGCAAAGCACATGACATACAGACCTACAGACAAGTTTCATTGTTCTCTTGTTTCATGCCACGGTTAGATCGACTTCGGGATACTCTCATCCACGAACTGTGTCATGCAGCGACATGGTTGATCCACGGTGTTCGAGATGGGCACGGGCGATTCTGGAATTTATATGCCAAGAAGTCTGCTACGATTCATCCAGAGCTCCCAGTAGTCTCACGGTGCCACAACTATGAGATAAAATACAAGTTTACTTACGAATGCTTACAGTGCAAAAACACGTGAGTGGAGAATTTCCTTTCGCCTAGCAGTACTTTTTCTTTCTTTTTTTTAAATTCACAGATGCTGCCTCATCTGCCGTTTGGTTAAACCATTCTCCCAATAGTTCCACTCATCTGCTTTATTTAGCAGATGAATAAATTTAGATGGAGTCCATTTCAGTTTTATCATTTTGAAATATGATTCAATGTTTCAGAACGTATGCATTTTGCTTTTCTGAAACTGGGGTATCCTGGTCCTTTTCTTGCCTACCTACTGAAATGGTTAGAAGTGTTGGTAGGAGCTAAAGGGGGTTGAGATTGGGGGGTTTAGGTCCTGGGACACTCCAATCTCACACTCCCCCTTTAGATCCTGCCACACTTCTAACTTTGGAATTGGAGGCAGCTTAGGAGTCCAACCCACGAATTGATCCAGGAGATTATGGGCCTTATCTACAAGAGGCTCCACGTTGAACATGTCTTCTTTTTTTAATACTTGGCACAGCTGAGATACGATGTCATATGGGAAAGAGAATACTTGGAAAATTTCAAGGCAAAGACTTCACCTGAAGTCAGCAAACTGCTGGCAAGGGGGAATCCAAGAGAGAGCCACAAGTGTTGTCTGCAGTAGTTTTAAGGCTGAAGACCAGAGAATTCCATGAGGTGGCTTGCTCACTCCCCGGCTGCTTTTCCGCCCACCTGGTTCCTGCTTGTGGCACCCATCTGTCCATGCTCTGCATACTGTCCAGCCCTCCATAGTGCCCACTCTGGGCACCTGCCTGCTCACCTGTAGCTCTGGCCCACTGGCCTGCTTTGTTTGGGGCTCCCGCCTCTTCCCACGCCACAGTCGCTTAACCTGTGTGGTCCTGGGGTTATAGTAGCAGCTGGGAATTGGTGGAATTGTCATCGCGAAGGGATGCGGTCATACGATGGAGATGGAAATTTTGGTCCCAACAGCTGTGTAACCTGAGGAAAACCTGTACACTGAAGTAGAATGTTATAGGAGGTTGTCTTAAGATAGTATTGCGGTTATGTGAGCCTGAACCACGGTTCTTGGTTACAATCTGTATTTTCAAAATAGAATTGTGTATGGAGTTTTTGATAGCCATGAATTGTTTATGCTGGAGATGATAATAGTTTGCTCTCAGTCAAATAATAAACCTCTTTCCTGAAGCTTTCTGTCTTCAAAGACACCTCTTGTGTTTGCCTTTCAGAATTGGGCGCCATTCCAAATCCCTCGACACGCAGCGCTTTGTCTGCGCTCTTTGCAAGGGGCAGCTGGAGCTTCGCCAGCCCAAGCTCAAAGACGGCACCCCAGCCAAAGCCCCACTCGCTCCATTTGCAAAATATGTGAAGGAAAACTACAGTTCCGTGAAGCACTCTCAGCAGGGCCTGAGCCATGGAGCCATAATGAGGAAGCTCAGTGTGGACTTCGCCTCCCACTCTTGATTGAACAACTGGTGTGGCAGCTCCAGACCAATGCTTGCAAAATGAGGTTTCTGATATAGAGGAGGAGACAGGGGCCGATGGAAAACCATTGTCATAATTCAGCCTTTTAAATGTTCTTTGTATGTTTAAATATTACACATATTTAAATGTATTTGTATATGCTCATTTTCTCCTAGGGCTTCAAATCAAGCATATGTTATGAAATACTAATAAATTCTTTTTAGTTTCAAATGTGGATGTAAATATTGCTTTGGCTTTCCATAGTGATTATCCCCCGTATGTTAAATTCCATTAGCTCTAGCCTATTTCTGGAAATGCACAGTCTGCAGATTAGGTATTTTTCCCATCAAGACATCCACAACAGTATGAAAAACTAGAGGATTTGGACTTGGGCCCTGGACTGGATGGGTTTGGAAAGGGAGTCATACCACTAAGGCAGAACATCAGCAGATAGCCAGAATCTGCAAAGAGGAAGTCAGGAAAGCAAAGGCTCAGAACAAACAAAGACTAGCAACAAAAGTCAAAGATAATAATATTTCTTCCAACATATAAATAACGGAAAAAATCAAGGAAGCAGTCGGTCCACTAAGGAGAGAAGATGGCAAGGAAGTAACAGGCAACAGAGAGAAAGAGCTGCTTAACTCATTCTTTGCTTCGGTCTTCATGCAAAAACAAACTAGCTCAACCCACCAAAACATAACTAATAGACAGACCAGAAATAAAATAAACAAAAAAAATAGTAAGAGAACACCTGTCTGATCTTGAACACAAATCACTGGGGTCTGAACGCTTACATCCCAGAGTTTTAAAGGAGCTGGCAGAGGTCATCTCAGATCCACTGCACCATATCTTTCAAAAATCCTGGAGCACCGGGAACTACCAGAGGACTGGAAAAGAGCTGATGTGGTTCCCATCTTCAAAAGGAAAAAAAAAACAAACTCGGGGAACTACAGACCAGTCAGCCTAACATCAATACCCAGGAAGATACTGGAAAAGATGATAAAAAACAGATCTGCCAACATCTAGAAACAAATAAGATAATAGCAGTCAGCACAGGTTTGTTAAAAACAGATCATGCCAAACCAATCTTATTTCATTGTTCATCATAGTGACTTCTCCAATTTGATTAGATTTGCTTGTTTTAAGCACTCCTCAATTAAGGTCTCTGAGGCAGCTACTCAAGAGGTGAAACCCTCCAGCTGGTGCTTAACTAAATTTGCTGACCAGCATGTAATGGAATAACTTAAGAAAAGATTTGGTGAATGTCATATATATATATATAACAATCTATTCAGAAAGTCACTGGACCAAAAACGAGATGAGTCAGTGTAGCAAAATTAACTCTGGATAAATTATGTGGGGTTTTGGTTATTTTTTTTGATGCAAGTCAATCTCTCAAATCACAACACCAAACTGGCACTGTAGCATTGCTTTCTAAGACCTTACAGAACCACGTCTTTGCAATCTGCTCTCTAGAGTCTCATCTCTCTACAGTTCCTTTTTCTTCTGTATTGTGGGAATCAGAACTGTATCAGACTGGAATGCATCATCAGATGAGTATCAATTCTACCGCAATAGATCTGATTAGTCATTAATAGCCCTCATAATGAATAAAACGTATCAAGTCAATGCTCAGATACAGGTAACCCTCTGCTTAAGATCATAATTGAGATTGGGAATACAATTGTAAATTGAGGCAGCCATGGGACCAGAATAAATGTTCTGGCCTGTTTTGTGATAGTTGTTAAAGGCTCGAATGGGTGCTTTTTGCCAGAAGCAGCAAAAAAAAAAATGTGCTGGAAACTAGCAAAAGGTGATACAGCCTGGAGGGTGGGGATGGATGAGGCCATTTACTATGGCTGAGGTATTTATGGGTGATAAAATATCGATTCTGTGACCATAATTTGTATCAGTATATTCATTAACTGATGGAGACACAGTTAAAAAAGTCAGCAAGCAAGTAAGCATGGTAACAGACCAGTCAACGGGAGCTGACAACCTGGGTGTGGTTTGGCTCTGTGTGCTTTGCTGAGAATTGAAAGTGAAACTAGTCTTGCTTGTTTGCTGAAACTAATATCTGCTGGGAGCTTCTGCTTTCTGTTTGCGTTATGTTCCGTTGAAAGAATCTACAAAAGGTACGCTCATATTATGTTTATAAAGAAGTTAACGATCCAGTGATCGTTAATGATCCAATGAATCTGTCATCTGTGTGTTTTCTGGACTTGAATTTCTGCTGCAAACAATTTTGAATGGTCATAAAATGAGTAATCAGAAGGACTATCTGTACAATAAAAAATGAATTATCTCAATTTGAGGAAGGCAAATCCATATTACGATACCACAAATCAACACTGCTGTCAGCTCCTAGATCTGGTGAATTTTATCATTTTAAATGACATTTAAGAGACCGAATGGAGTGTGCAAATTATTTTTCCCAACACACACAAAAGTATTGCACATAGACCTTCCTGGCTTTTTTTACCCCTCTGCAGGTGCCCAATTATATGCATTAATCCCATCACTAATGATATGCCGCGGGTTTGGGAATTCTTATTTTTATTTTAGCCACCTTAGCTGTAAAGGTGAAAAGCAGAACACACCTGTTACCCCAGTTTGCCAAGGCAGAGAAACGCTACCCCCTCGTCTTCTCCCTCAGCCAGGGAGGCAGCGTGAAGGCTGCTTCCAGGGGCCGTGCCAAGGCTACTCCAGCTGTCTTCCTGCTGTCGCCATTAAAGCCCCTCGTGCAAGCCGTGTGTGCTACGGGAGCCTTTGGGCCGTGTGTGCTATGGGAGCCTTTGTGTCTCCCACGCTCGGGGTCCTCTGGGTCTGTGTTGTTGACCGTGTCTTTGCTGGCCCTTGGAGACTCGTGAGAGATCCTGGCCCTTTGTTCATGGATAGCTGGAGAGGAAAGCATACCCGAGTCCTGGCAGGCAATCTGGTCCTGCCCCTGGCTCTCCTCTGCTGACTTAGCCAGCTGTGCACATGGGCCAAATCTTCCCCCTGTTGGAGCTCCTGAAGAAGCTGTTCTTTCTGCTCCTGGAGCTGATGCACAGTGGCCTTTAGGCCCTGGGCTCTCTTGATGAGGTTCAGCAGTTCATTGCGCAATCTCCCGTTCTCAGCTTTTATCTGCTTGGTGTGTTGGATGAGGCTGCGCACGGCTTCTTTCTCAGCCTTTTTGGCCAAAGTTTGGACCCTCCTCTGGGACTCCATTTCATATTCTGCCTTCTTTTGCAGGAACTGGTTCTTGACAGTGTGCATTTGCTCGGAATGGTGGATTTTCATGGCCAACAGCTCTTTCTCCAGCTCCCAGATACGGGAAAGCTGGTCAGACTGCAGCTCCTTGAAGGGCCTCAGATCATCAACCTCCTTGTTCATGAGGGAATACTTGGTCTCCATCTCAATCAACTGGCTCCTGACCTCCTTCTCTCTGTCTTTGTACTGAGAGGTCAGCTCATCCTTCTGCTTCAGGACAGAGGCCAGATCTGATCGGTTCTGGTCATTTAAGGTAATGATGGCATTCTGGCACAGGAGGGTGCGTTTGGCTAAGTAGGTGAGGTAAGCTTTGTTGTTTTCTTGGATCTCCTGGGCTTCCTTGTCCAGGAGTTCATTTTCATCTTGAAAGCGATCCACCCGATCTGAATAGTCCTTGATATACTCTGTCAGGGTGGCATATTCCTTCTTCAGGTGTTGCTCTCTCTCGGTGAAAAATTGCTCAGAGGAGCTTTGCTGCTTGACCATACTTTTCTTAACTTTTAGCTTATTTTTCTGTTGCGCCATGCTGTCCGTTAAAATGCTGATCAAACGAAAGGAAACAGGGTAAAACACGGTAGTTGTGTAGCCTGTATGGAAACAACAGGTGGAAGAGTGCGATTAGAGATGCTATGAGATGTCAGGGAGAAATTAGACTGCCCTGGAAGGATAAAGAAAAGATGGCAAAATAAATAGCGGAACAGACAATCGACCATGCATTGAGCGGCACTGCCTACATTTTTAGCAATCAGCTGCTGCTGCTCTGAGGAAATTGGTTCCAGGGCCTGTAATGCTTTGTGCCCTTTCCTTGTGACGGCATCACTCCGAGCAAAGTGGCAAATGGGGGGCTTATTTTTCTTTTAACTGTTACAAGCCACCCCTCGGGAGCGTGTGATCCCAGTTTGGACCTATGCTCGGAGGCAGTCACTTTCATCGCACCTTATATTTCTGACTATTGAAATGCAAATTAAGATTTCTATTATTCTGGCCTGTAGATACATAAGCACTTGGTTTGTTACACTTTAAAAACTTGCAGTTGCCTTCTTGGTAAAACAAATACATTCAACCATTGTATTATTCTGAATTATTATTCTGTTATCCTGAAAGGAGATGGCTGCAATGTGCTCTACACGGGGCTACTCTTGGTGCTATCTGGAAGCTTCACCTATTGCAGAATGTGGTGGCGGGGGCAGTTTTTGGACTCCTGGGTTGTAACACCATTGCTGGGGAGCCACGTCGGACGCCGGTTTGCTTTGGGTCCACTGTGCAGTCTTTTCCTCAGCCTGTCCACTCAGCAAATTGTTCTCTTGGACTTGCGTGCTTCCTCTACCTTTATACATACAGTTTGGAACATTTTTTTCTTGGGTTGCTCATTAAGACTAGAAGACTCAGAGAAGGTGTCCCCACAGATAACCAGAGCCCAGGCCCAAGGCATTATAAAGCGATATTAACAGTTCAGGTGATCTTGATTCTATCCTATTAATGCAGACTAGAATTGCATTGTCCCTTTTGGCAGCCACAGCACACTGCTGGCTTGCCAGGAATCTGTTTCATCTCCCACTTGGTGCAGAGTTTGTTTCCCAGGGTAAAGTCCCCCATTACTACTGCGGTGCGTTTCCTGCACAGCTTAGCTAACCGGTTAGCAAAAACTTCATCTATTTCCTCCATTTGGTTGGGTGGCCTGCAGTATGCCAACACCATTCTTTTTTTCATTTTATATTAAACCATATGCATTGAAGGAGGCTTTTATTGGTTTTACGCATTTCCGTAAAGATGTTGTGATTTCTTACATATAATGCAATTCTTTTGTTAAGTCTGTTTTCTTTACACAATTTATGTCCTTCCAGCAGTAAATTTCAATCATGAGGAGTTTCATCCCACCATGTTTTGGTAATGGCAACTATATCATGCCTGCTCCCATATATCAGTACTTCA